TTTGCAAGTTAAAAACGAGGGGAAAAGAATTAAACTTAAAAATGGGGGAAAAAAGAAAAAAAATCTTATGTTGTATAAAAAATATGGTGTGAAAATTAGCACATTTAATTTAAGGGCGTGAAGAAAAGAAAATTAACGTAAATTATGTTTGTAAGATAAAGAGAATTAAAATATCTTAACCCAAATAAAAACAAAATAAATTTAAAGTTATGTGAATTCATTCGTTATCGAGGATGTACAAAGGTCTGAGCAAGTTGGAACAGAATTGCCTATGTGCAATCCATCAGGCTCATGCTGGTTTCCGCTGCACAAAGTCAGATGAACAAAGAGGATAGATACGATCAAATAATAAACAAATAATAGGATTCAAGAGATAAAAACACGGCTTTGTGTTATCGTCCACGTTTTACATGCCATACATGGGCAAATACATGAAATTTACATGTATATACATGAATATTTTTCATTAAATACTGCAATATTAAGTCAAATGGTATAATCAATTAAAAATAATGGTTAATAACTTGGTCAGTATCCACGAGAACCAATCAGAAAGCGCTATGGGTGAGACTACTGGTCTCTAGCGGTTGTTGCTGAAATAAATAGAATGTTCTAAAAATTCTAACATGTATATGCATGCTGCAATCAGGTTGCGGATTTTCGTTAATAGATAAGCGCTAACATGAAATCGGATTATAACACAAACGGGATGAAACATGTGGCTAACGTAGCAAGATAATCTGAGGTGATAATGCGCGATGACGTCACGAACAAGAAGCAGCGCGTCCGTGCTTGAGCCACGTAGTTGATGGCGTAGCAACCCTGGCGTGCTACTCTGTAAATTCTCTCCCCCCCTCTCAGCTCCACGCAACCCCAGCGCCACAGCGCCACAGCGCCATATGGCCCCAAACCAACGTTTTCTATCTATTCATATACGTAAAAGTGTTGCCTTTTTACTTTAATTAATTAAATCCTCTTTTTCGTTAAAATAGTTTTTTCTTCTATTTTCAACATACAGTATATACAGTAATTAATTAAAGTGTATGTAGACCCTTTCTTCGGAAAAGATGCAATTATCCGAATTTTCGATTATCCGAATGGGGTCCGGTTCCCAAGTGATTCGGATAATTGGAGTTCTATTGTATTATTTTTATAACAGGAAATATTTGTTCACAAACATATGTAAATCCAAAGTAATGAATTATGTGTTGAATTTTTCTGATAAAGTCTTTTTCCTTCCAGATCAGCTGAAATATTGCAAATGGAAAAAATATGTGCAAGTTCCAGCTCTTTGTCATGTAAATGTAAAATTTACTTTAGCTTAAGTTCTATACTACTGTAAGCATTTGACTCAGAGGTAATTAAGTCGTTAACAAGGTCGTTAAGACATCTATTACGTATATTTAAATTTTGGCGATGAAAATTGTAAAGTAATTGCGTATATTTAAATTCTGGCAGGGAAAATTGTAAAGTATGCAATTAGTTTTATTAACAGTTATTTGATATTAATTTGGTTTACTGTCCTTCTTGTTTCCCTTTCCTGCCAGAATATAAATTTCGAGCTCGTGTGTATTCAAATGAGACAGTATTTAAAGGAAGGTTTTAGAGGTTTTAAAGAGTGTTCTGCCTGCTGAAGACCACGTTCTTAATTTGATTCTCTTGAGAGTAGTATTCTGCAGCGTTTCGTTATTTTCGCCATTAAGACTTGTTACGCCGACCTTAGATCAGAGCCAACTTGCGCGTTGCTCTAATTGTGTAGCCGTTAGGCTAACTTACATTTACTTAATGAAGACATATTCTTACATTTGATTTTAGCCATAATTACTGGCTTCCGTGAACACAAGTGGAGCCTTCTGTTTCGTGCTAAATAAAAGGGTTCTTTACTCTCATTCTCAGACTTTTTCGTACTTTATACAACATAGTGATAATTCACTTACAGTCTTTTGAAGTTTCGTATAGTTGATGCTACCAAAGAATGCGAGACGTTATTAGATTAATCATTGAGTAAAATAGTAGTTTTAATATTTAACAGTAAATGTTAATAATTTGACAACGTATAATAGTATGTATACTAAGTACTGGAATGCCGTGTGACTAATTGATAAAGTAATATTTTATAGATTTTTATAAATCAAGTGAAAGTTAATAAAGTAAAAGAAAAGCAAATATCTATTCAAGTACATAAAAAATGTCGAAAAGTAACTTAAAATAACCATATTTAATGTTTATATTTGTAATCGATTTTGATATATACTATGTTTGTAATAAAAATGATTTAAGAATATTGATTAGACCAATGGATGTAAGAGGTAGTTTGGCCAACTGTCTTAATTTAAGTTGATCAAGAATTAATAGTGTGCTTTAAATTGGAAGTTATTATTTATGTTTATTATATAAGTTAGTTCTGTCATGTCTGCCCCCATGTTTCATATTGGCGGCATACAAATATGGGCTCTACCATCAAACACTGCGATTTTATTGTGAATTTATTAATTATGGTTACTGAAGTCTGTAGAGACATTAGTTATTTTTGGAAGCAGAAGAGATGGAAAATTAGTAACCGCCTTCGCCGGGAATCGAACCACGAACCTCTGGAATACCGGCCCAGAGTGCAGAACCACTACATCACGAAGGCACGCTAGGAAAGCGGGAGAAAAACTTTATAAGTTATTTGTGCAATGTATTAGGCGGTGTCAGTCAAATTATTTAGTTTTTAGAATATTAATTATTTCTTGAATTTGGAATATATTCATTTAGATTTTAATACATGGTACAGAATATATAAAGAGAGGCATTATTATTTTATATGAATTAGTCATTGATAATCATGTATGGATATTCCATCCCTAGTGTTTTTGAGATGCTTTATATATTTGCATTTCAGTGGATGAGTCAAGAGTTTGGATTGACGATTTAGTTATCTCTAGTAAGGAGTAATGAGAATTAATTTTTTGTGATTCATATGTTTTAAGGAACGTCAGTGTAAACATTTTAACGGTAAAACATTTTTAACGAAAGACTTTTTTTTTTCAAGTAGAAGCAATTTTCATTATTATTGAAAAATAATAAGTTTTTGTTTTTATATCAAGATCCAAAGAAGAAGATGTCACTTTACACTGACTGACATTCATTTAATGAGTTTGAATTTTAACTGAATTTACTTTACTTTTAAGTTTCAAGATATGCGTTTACTAAATTCGGTTTTAATATTTCGGATTTTTAAATTCGGGTTCTAAGAGAGTTTTATTTAAATTTTATCCGGAACCAGGCATTCAATTAATTAAACATAGTTTAATTTTTATATGCGAAAGGCAATTAAAATTAATTTCGACCACATAACAGCATTACAAATGCTCTGAGTGAAATAGTTTAGTCGCACGACACACGCATCCAGTACGTCGTTCAAAAGGAGTAAATGGCGATGAGTTTCTCACTTGGCTTCCAAATTTGCTGAAGCATACTGCTTGCAAATTTTGATCTTTGTGGAAGTATTTAAAGATATTGTTTTTTGTATAGCTATTGCCTTCTGACTTTGATGAACTCAAAATCTGCATTATCCATGCTACGCGCCACTTACATCAAATATGGTTTAACTGAACTGAAACTGAATTTTTTCATTGAAACTGACGACGTTTTTGGATTGCACCTGGAAACTGTGAAGTCTGACTGCAGACTGGATGGATATCGAATTTCAAAAAGTGATCTCACATAAAACATCTTTGATGCATGACAAGAAATTTGGAGAATTAAGATTTAATTTGATGAATTTCATGTAATTATGTGACAATTAAATTGTTTACTGTAATCATTTCTAACAGGATGATTCTATTTAACTTGTAGAATCATTAGTTATTTATCACAGCAGAAAACGTGAAAAATAAGCTGTGCACTCCTTGAGATTCGAGAACTCCGAACCTTTCGATTCCTAACCATCCTTCTAATTACATTGCCACGGCATGTGGTAAAGAAGAAGAAAATCTCTTTACAGACTTACCCTGCATTTTTGCTTAAAGATGTCATGTAATTAAAATTATCGTAGACTGAAAATCCACTTCATATGATTCTTCCTTAAACTGGAGCCGTGGGTATGTGACTGTCTGAAAATATATGCTAGTTAAAACTGGAAGATCATAATTAGTAACGTTATATTATAGGATTTTTCCGGTCACATTCATTAGCAAAAATAAACTTTTAGGAGATACAAGCCACGCCTTTTAACTGGCATTTTATTCCTATTTGATAGTTAAACAAGTTACTGAAGATGAAAGCCATAAAAATTTTTCCAGAAAATTTGTTTTTCCTACTGCAAAAACTCTGGAATGTTAGCTGGAGTCACGGATTAAGGAAAGGGTATTTGCGGGTGCTTGCACGGATATACTAAGCTTAAATAACGATCCAAATCCAGAATGTGTCAAAAAATTAATTTCAATAATACACTACATTTTAGCGTAGACATTTATTAAATTGCGTTTCCCAGGTTGTATATTTGGAATTTAATACAAAGCTAATGAAAAAGGAGGCCTTTCTTACTAGTGTTATGTTAAATGATGCTGCAAGTGCCTTCTGCCTGAGGTGCGAAAATATCTTCATACTAACCTAATTACTGGGTGCATAAATATGACTCCGCCATTTTTCGAGTATAAAAAGACATTTGTTAGTTTCAAAAATGAAAGAAAGATCATTCAAAGTATTTTCCATCAACAATTACTACATTCACTTATCTGCCAGACAACAAACGGATTCCGTGAAGGAAGGATTCCAGTTATTTTGAAACTATCCAGTCATCAAACCAAATTTTGATAACCCTGAACCCCTTCTCATATAGGGTGCTCTGCATGAATCGAAACAAATGGTTATCTGAAGGCAAGGTCCGTACAAAGTAGTCCGTTCTTTCTACGGACCTTGATCTGAAGGACCAACATTTGGTGAATATGGCGGATGGAGTAACGCATACCAGTAAAGTATTGCTGGAGTTTCCTTGATTGGTCTTACAACATGTGGGCAAGTATTGTCATGATGGAGTATCACTTTGTCTTATTTTTTGGCATTTTCTGGAAGTTTTAATACTTCGTTAAGATTGGTTAATTGTCGTTTGTGATGATCAGCATTGATTGCCTGGCTCTGTTGCAAAAGCTGAAATGTTTTGAATGGTATTTCTATGTTGTTTCTCATTTGTATCAAAATTACTATTTTTAAACCGTCGGAACCACTCATTCGAGTTAAATTCTATGAAGAAAGTTCACCATAAATTTTCAATATGAAATATGTTTCTGCTGTTTTTTTTTTTTTTTTTTTTTTTTTTTTTTTTTTTTTCAATAAAGCAAGAAATAATGGCTTTCCACAAGTCTTGTTTTGGCATAAAACTCGATATTTTAACAAGGTAAATATATTTATTGTTTACATTTTAAACTGATGCCAAAGACTAATTATTAAAGGTTGCTGTTAAATCTTTCAAATACAAGTGTACCCCGATCCACTTGCAAGCAAGTATTTCAACTACAACATCTCTTAGAAAAAAATGAAATCATACTTATACGCCCAACAGTTCAAACTCAAACGTTACTCATCCTGAAGAAGCAAAGATAAAACAAACGTGTTAGTAGAATGATGTCTTATGTTATGAATTAAAATAACAAACTGAAAAATATTTATGAAAACCATACAATTAAAGATAACGTTAATAAGTTAGGAAAGTTAAATTAAAGTTTAGTCATACCATTGATTTCTGAGAAATGAAGACGGGTTCTGTACATATTTGATATATCTGTAAGGAATATTTTTCCATCGTATCGGATACATTCATTTTGCATCCCGGTGGATGTGTAAGTACATTGTTCTGTTCTTTCAACAGTCCACTGCAAACACAATATTAATGAAACAAAAATATTTCATTTCCCAAATGCTTTCTTTTATTTATGCGTAAAACAACAACAGATAATTACTAACCTCATTGGATGGCTGAGCAGAAGAATAAAGAAGATCAAGAAAAGATGATGACTGTACCAAAATAAATCGTAGCTCACAATCCTGCAAAAATATTGGAATTAGGATGGATAGAGAATTTTAAATAAATCAAAAATGAAAGAATATTTTCAGCAAGTGTACCATTTACGTCTTATTTTAATAGTTTAAAGTATTCGTAGACAGTTATCACTTTTGTTTAAGAGTCCATTTGAAACACTTTAAAGTCAGAATTACATAATGATAGCACAACAGAATATTAAAATTCTGCTGAAGCAAAAATACGTAAAAAACAGAGAAGGGGCATATCCAGGCGGGGGTACATAGGGACATATGCCCCACCTCCAAAATTTTTTCTTGTTTTTCCTGATACTTGTTCATCAAGAGAAAAAAAATATTCCATTTAAATCTGTTTCTCAGAAAAAGATAGAAATATTTTTGCTGTCTCTGCAATAGTGCCTCAGAGTCAGTGTTTGTAAGAAGCATGGAGGTAAGAAGGGAAGGAGTGGCTAAACCGGCACTAGATTCATTTATTCATTCATTATATATTAAGTCGAAATATTGCATTTCAGATGCAACGTGTCCGGCTCAATGACTTGTATGCCCAAAGGGCGCATGACCCAAGTGAAGCACTGCTTTGAAGCTTCGGTCACCAGATGGGGTGTTTTTTGTTCACATTCAGGAGCTCGCTTGACAGTGCTCTGACAGCATTTCGACACACGGCAGTTCCATACAAATCGAAAAACGGGACACTTTCGCATGAAAGAAACATTCACTGTGTGATGGATAATAGCAATTTGTATAGTTTAGTGACATTTACGCAAAAATCACATCTTGGTTATTTTTCGATAATTAACAACAGGGATTTTGATTATTATAAATTTGTTTTATAAAATTCTAAGCTGTTAAACTATAAAAATATAGATTTTAGCAAAAATGTTATGCTTAAAGAATGAAAAATACCTTACGGTACCTTTAAAATTGTATACATCTTTCGATAACCCTTGATAGAGTATTCGCTACTTTTATTTTATGTTCCAAACGCCAAAATATGCCGGCAAATAAAATAGTCAGCTATTGAAACAATTTGTTAATCAACTTTTTTGTTTCTGGCGCAAATTGACATAAAAACTCCGTGAGCACCAAGAAAAAAATATCACGTACATTCTTTGCTGACAGGTTAAGGAGCTTTATACAAGGACGTAAACAAGTCGTAATACATATTTTTGATACTGCCAATAGGCAAAAGGAAATAGACAAAATTTAGTTCTGTTATTAACAAAGTAATTTTCTTTGGCAAAAATGGACCTCTTTTTAGAAGATCGTGATTACGACCAAATTAACGAAACAGATGAAAACAAGAAACATAACCATCACGAATTTCCGTCAATCTGCTTAAAATCTGAACTGATGCAGGAGATAAAATGCTGAAAGAGCATTCAAAATAATCTGCTAATAATGCATCGCATATATCGCCTAAAGTACAAAACGAAATTATAGATGCTTGCCAAATTTTAAAATTATCACCTGGAAGTTATTTTATAACCTCGTGTACAGAAACCCTTCATGTATTAATAGTTCTCAGATCCTAAACAAGATACTGAAAAGACTACCACTCAAAAGCAGCAACAAATGTGCCGCACAGAATGCCCAACGATCAACACATAGTTAAACTTCGCAGAAATATCCGTAATACCATTAAGTAATAAAAACTATTTAAGGAAACGCTGGCATTTGACATGGGATCCTAAGCTTAAAAAAATACAAATAAATAAACAGATTAAGAAACTTATTAAGAAACACAAGGAGGGCAAATGTGAAGATAATATTCCCATTCCCGAAAGAATCTATTTTTCGTTCATAAATAAATTTAAGAAAAAAATATAGATGTAATAGGGCAGTCTACGCTGACCATTAGATTGCACTTTAGAACACAAAAATGCCAAAATGCTTATTTCCAGAAACAGTTCAAGCTCAGTTTTGTACTGAAAGTCGACAGTTTTACTAATGACTGGATGAAGACCCAAGGAAGTTTAGTTAGTTAAGATTCCCCCTAAGAATCGACTAATGTAGTTAAGAATTTTGAATTAGAAGGCTGCCGATGATGACATTACAAATTATGCAATTAGAAACTTGATGAAAAGCGTCATTTGCTTGAAAACAAGAAAGCGAAAGTGATTTCATTACTTAAATAAGATTTAATTAAACTTTACGGTTATAAGCCTATTAGTTTACTTGCCAGTTTAGGAAAAGTGTATAACAGAATTATTCTCCATAGAATAAGTTATTTTAGTTATCTGATCCTTTATCAAAAAGAAGTGCTTCACGGTCTCAGAAAAAAATGCATGATCTAATACTAGACTCATAAGAGTAGGTATCCCACAGAGCTCAGTATTGGTCCCCTATTTTTTACCTGTTTCATGTTGATGGCTTTCGTAAATCGCACCTCAATCAGCATTCGCCATCTGCATGCTACACTGACGAAAAGGCAATATCCGCTTAATCTGCATGTACCAAACATGCAATTAAAAAGGCCGGAAGATTTATATTCCATGCACAGAAGAGTGGTGCTAGCATTGGCGCATTAGGATCAATGCACTAATCTCAACTTTTCGTCTCATTTCTCTCAACAACTCGTTGTTCGTCGAAATAAGGGATCCAGAATGCTCATAAAAGTACGTTTGAAATTGTTCTGTGACATTGCGCCGAAAGTTAGTAAGGGAAATGAACTTTGTGTAACCATAAACAGTAAATTAACATCAGCTGGATCACATTATCTGGTGTAACCAGTGCGACCGTACCGGGCGACACAAAATTTTACAATTAAGCGAACCATCGAGCGTCAAAATTTAGGGAAGGCGAAATTTTTAGAATTTAGAGCACGCAGAATTTGGGGGGGCGGGGCAAATTTTTTAGAATTTATGGAAGCACCAGGCAGCAGAATTTAGGACCTACAAAGATCGTACCGGGGACAAAATGACTTGCTCTGCTCTATTTAAAGTGGTGTAGTGTTCAGCAAGTTGTGTAGGCTGCAATTTCACGTGCTCCCGCTTGTTTTGTAGTAAGTGTCGTTTAAATTACAGAAGTCGATTTCAATTGTATAGCACAAGTTTCAGCAACATACCGCGAACACAGTGCTGCAAAGCTTTAGTTCCCACGACCATTATTTCAGCAAATACTTAGTTTTTATTGTTCTTGTGAAACGCGGCCGATATTCCTTTGTTTGTGAAAGTGGTTAAGCGAAGTGCCAAGGATCACAAGTTATTTATAATACTCTTCCTGTGTAATAGTGCTGCCGTCTATAAAATTAATTGAACTGACTTTTGATTAATTCACATTCCCAGGATACCTATGGATGCCATTTGATGTTATTATTTCAAGCAATTAAGGAAGTACAGCTCATTAAAATAGTGTGCCATATTCAGCTCAATTAATGCAAGTTTTTCCTGGATTATAACTTATTTACAAGATTATCAACGCTGAAATCGTACTCAAGAGGTAGGCTCTTAAACACTATTTCTTCGTTGAAAATTTCTTCCCCGTTCCTTCTTCTGAGGCGTTTATTTTAATTATTTTACATCATTTAACGTGCAAGTGTGTTCCATTCCCCCCCCTCATCTTCTACAGAGAGATTTTTTTTTCCCACATACTTGCCCCCGAAACCAGTTGGGAGGCGACCTTGAACTGTATCTGTATGCCCACGACCGTGCTCTATTGTTACAGCTCTAATAAGAACAGCGCCCTTTCATTGCACACGGCTTTCTCAGTTTCATCGGCGGAGCATTTTTGCCCAATTTCAACAATTGTGTTTTAAATCTTTAACCAAAGTTCTAAAAGGATAAAAGCACTGAATGAAACGGGCTCAAATACTGCATCTTCACAGATCATCACATTATCAGTTATTTATTAACTCCTGCAGTCTTGTAATTTAGGAAAGAATATACTTTTTTTAATTCTTTTTTATTATTATTTTATTTTCACTACAATTATTGTTATTATTATTATTATCTGGTATTTAGAATCGTATGTACATGTGTTAATGTAACTAGTGTGTCTTTTCATACTTATTTATACTCCCCTAACCTATCACATTGTGTTTTGTGTGTTTTGCATAATTCTGAAAAGTTTTTACATACTGTTGTATCTGTTTTCTAAGTATAATACTGATTACTTAACACTCACTTGCAGAAATACCTGTCTGAATAAGGTTTAGAACTCCTCTTAACGACTTAATATAATGTACGTCTGACAACTCACAGTTATTTAATTAATTAACCTTTGGTTAAGACTTGACATAATATAGTATTTACCAACAGATAATTTTTATTTTTATTTATTTTGTTTTTTTTTTTTTTTATTTAGTTTTTCTTATATATATATTCTTTTTCCTAAGAAACATTGGAACTGCATAACACCTGAATTTAGAAGAATTATTTTTGTCAGACTTTATGTGAGTAATAACATTTATTCTAATAAGCAATTATTCACTATTATTTACTTATTTATTTATTTATTTTTGTTAACTTCATGTACTAGTAATTTTCTGCTCTGCTTATGAATAGTTTCTGATTTATTGTCATTTTTGTTTTATGTGAGCGCTATGAAATTGTAAACTCTTATCGATGGCTTCTAAAGATAGGTCTTCCTCACCATCATTATTAAACATCTCCCATTCTTTAACTAGCAATCCTGAAAATGCTGACTCCTTCAGATTGAATGATATTCTAAGAATTACTGATAAAATTAAAGATCTTTTAAAGATCGACAAAAAATAGAAAACTTAATACCCAAGAACATAAAGATATTTCTGGCCATTTAACAGCTCTTCGTCAAATAGTGGCAGACCAAGAACTTACTCTAGCGAAGCACGAAGGTACAATTTTGGAATTGAGAGAGCAACTGTCTCTTCAGCGTTCAAATACTACAGTTATTTCTGAAGTGAAGGAACATTTGCAGCAACAACAACACACGAAGTTAAAAAATTATTCGAAACAAAGTTTCTAGAACAAAACCCAAATTCCTACGCCGTTGCTGCCGCCAAAAAACATTTCTTTGAAACAGACTCC